CGTGATACCCTATCAGATCTCATCCAATTTGAATGCGGAGTATAACAGTGATCGTTATTGGGACCACGGTTATTTTAGACGTAATCCAACGAGGTTACACGCCTGCTTCAATGCCGATGACATCAAGGAGTGGAAGGCGAGCAATACACCAGATAATGTCACACTAATTCAAATCAAGCTGGATAGGGTATATATGTGGTCAATACATAAGCTAATTCAGTTTAATACGGATAAATGAACTGTTGCAATTACGACTCCAGCTGGCGTGCTACTGCCCAATGGGTAATCAGGAGCTTACAGCGTCTTCTAACGCAAAGTATCGGAGCGTTTTGATCCAGACCGTCCCTGGATGTTGGAAACAGGCTGAAAATTCGTCAGGAAGTGGCATCCAACACGTGGGTCTTCTGAGGTATGCATTCAGACGATTCGACACGTCGATTTTCCAGTAGCTTATCGGTTCATACATATGTCAACATGTGGAATGCGCAATACAAGTCTAACAGACATGGCTGAAGGGAGATCACACCGCCTTGGACGTGGCCTAATCACGCGCTTCCATCAATGTCAAAGGTTTGTATACTTTGCCATATGGAAAAGGACTCAAGTGCTCGAAGCATTCAGCGGACAATACCCTCGATTGCGTGGGGATCTTATGTTGAGTTACCAGATGTTGAGGAATCTGAACCACACTTGCCGCCATTTGCTAGAGCTTAGTCACAACAGTAATCTGAAAGACCGTTGTCTCAAGCTGATTGAGTAGTGCAATCATTTGGAATGCGCTCGCAATTTTTTTCCTTTCGCGTTTGTCAAACGTCGCAAACCCTACCGAAATCTGTCATCTGTGCTCCCAAACTGGTGGAGCTCAAGGCGCGAGTTAACTGTGAACTCATTCCTTGGCACTATATTTTATGACTCATTCCCTATGGCTAAGCAAATGCATCTGTTGGAGAATTACCTGTCGGTCAACTGACAGAATGAATCCTATTTTTTCACCACCCATATGCGTTCACCAGGGTGAGGGACGCTTTTTACCAACGTCCCATTTTTCATCTTTGCTTATGAACTTACGTTAGGTTTGCCGTTTATGATACATATACATCGGTGAGTTCACGAGGGTGTAAACATACTTTTGCTGACAACTTTTTGTATTTTTGGCAATATTCACCATCTTCATCCTACTTGTACTATTGAGTACCAAAGAACCTTCAGATACGTTTCACCAAGTAAAACAAATGGATATCGGAGAGTCTGTCTGGGCAACAATACGCCTAAGATACTACCGTTGCAAACAACCCCCGAAACTGTTGAAACACCCATTCAATTCTTCAATACCCCAATGAATTGAGCATCCCGGTGCCTCTCACTTGTAACGTAGTACCATATACATAGAGAACGCATATGAGCCAAGGGAATTCCGGCAGTCGAAGTGACAAATGCGCCGACTGAGACGAAGCGCGAGAGATCGGATACAGTCTCGTACCTTAATGCGATGGGTCCGAAGACTAGGAAAATCACCATCGAGCCACCAAACAAACCACCGTTCTAGAAACCGCAGCTTGGGGACCCGCTGGTTAATGTGATGTCTATTAGCTGACGTAAAGTCGACTATACATACTCTATCGATCCAACTAGCCTTCAATTTGAAACAGTCTCTAACGCGATCCTCACGGAATAGCTGCTGGAGCATTGCGCTTCAAAGTACACAACAGTATGGCGTTCACATGTATTAACTTGGGACGGAAACAATAAGAAAATCCCATGAATTTGCTTTTTCAAGCTCGTCGTTGTTGCAGGACAGAGTTGGGGGGATCAGTTTGAAACCGTGGAGAGCCAAACAATTACACTCGAATCAGATCACGGTCAAGCAGTCCCCGTTGTACCGCCCAGGCGAATTAGAAAAAAGACTAGGCGTAAGGTGAAGCTTCGTCGCAGCTAGGATCAGGCGGAAAGCCGCAACACATCCATAATAGCACCAGACGGCCGCTTGGTCTTACTGGGACTGGTCAGTAGCGCGTACCCACCGAATCCTACCGGATTCGAACCAATGACTTTACTATTGCGAGCCAGAGACTTATACCACTGAGCCATGGGCGACGGTAGCGGACCGCCATTGATATCTAACTGCGATATGGCGAGGCCCATCCTCCACTGCCTTGCAAGTTGTGTACGTGCAGAGGACAAACTTGGCCTCCAGAGCAACGACCTCCTTTGCACACCGCCAACAATCGAGATGGCATGTAGGCAGCTAAGGCGACTATTGATACTGAGTGCCTGTCTGACTGAGTCTAGGTGTGACGAATCTTCACCAAACCCAATAAATCTCCCTACGAGGTACTAAGGATACTTATGTTTTACTGTAAGTATAAATTTACAAAATGTGGCAAGAGTGGTATTGAGAGATAAAGTCACAGAAATGACGACGGAAGTTAAGAGCCAAACGGGAAAGTTTGGTAGTGCAACCAGAGGACATAGAGTCGATGTTCAAACACCTTCACCACTGGTGTCAGTAACACATCCTTTGGTAGTATATTCCATGAATCAACGACCCTACGGGATAAACGAAACTCAACCCTAACGCAATCGGGCCTGGGCTTGTGAAGCTTCAGTGAATGATCCGAAGCGTTAGCTTCTGGATGAGAGGAAACATGAGGGATAGATCAGACTCAGTCTGGCCAGTCAGTATACGATACGTAAGAAGTAAGTCGTCCCAAAAGCGCCTGCAGTGCGGCGGAAAAATTTGCAATCTAGGCATCCTCTAAGGATACGAGTATTCCTTAATCCGTGCATCATTTTTGTGCCAGTCCTCAGAACTCGTTCAGCTGCCATCTTGTCGCGGATAAAGCATGGCGGACTCATCGGCCCGCATTATTTCAAATATACTCTGACAAAGGCCGAGAACAACATAATAAACAGCTCCTACGTTATGATCCTAAATGAGCATCATGCACAACATTTGGAGATACGAATAACACTCGTCGAGTTGTCCCTGGATTTAAAGTCAGAGGACTGCAAATTACCTTGGTCAACTTGGTGGGTCACCCACGGTTCTGTAGTGGCGCCAATAAGGTAAAGTGAGGAAAACGTACCTGATCCTATGCGTAGGACTGAGAAGTTGATAAGATCTAATAGCAGCTGTCACAAATCTGACCACTGCAAAAAGCTTGTCAAGAGCCATCCACATTGCAAAGGGGCCTTCAGAGTCAATTATTGCACTCCAAATGTTTAGGTCACCGCAGACAGAAGATATGTTAAACTGAACTCTTCAATTAGGTCATTAACATGCACAGCGAAGACTGGAGAACCGAGAAAGACCCCCTGTGGAGCCCTACTCAGTACTGCTTGTCGAAAAGATAGCACAGAGCCAGCTCGCACTCTTACCGCTCTTCTTTTCAGGAAAGCCGAAATACATTGTAAGACTTAGCCAGAAATTCCTTAGGACTTTAGTTTAAACAGTAGAAACGATAGCAAAGTCTTTGGAAAAGTCAATGAACAAAGCGTCCATCGCCGATCCAAAATCTACAGACCCAGCCCAGAATTCTCGGATCGTCAAGAAGTCACTCAAGCAAGGATAACTCCTGCGGAACCCACGTTGAGACGGGTTGAGCAAATGAAACTTAATCACGTGCTTTTTAACACTATGCCTTATTAGCTTCTCTAATAACTTAATCAGTACGCCTGTCAAACCAACCAGTCTGTACATCTTAGAGAGGTGCATATCGCCCTTACTGGAAACAGGACGAACGATAGCCTCTCTCTATTCAGTAGATAGAGAGTAGCTTTGAAGTGATCTCTCAATGTGGTATTTGATTGAGTTGCACAGCCCTTCGGCTAGTTTGTGCAGAAGCTTGGGCTGGATAAGGTCCATCCTGGTAGCTTTGGTGGGATTTAATTCACGCAGCGGCGTCAGTACCTGAGCTTTCAAGGTGGAAACATCCATTCACATATTCAAGCTGAGAGCGCATACATTCGCTAATACAAATTTGAATAACTCTTTTGATATGTTATGTTAGGGAAACTAGGAACCAACGGCTAGAAACGTTAGAAATTAGCATATTGGTGGTAACGGTGAGATGAAAGAGTGGAACTAGGTTGAGTTACCAGAACCAATGGTAATGGTTGGTGCTTAGGATAAAATTACGAAATATAAAGTTCGTATCAACGATAAAAGTAACTTCAATATGTTTAATACAGGAACCCACATGTTACGGCAAATCATCATCTGAAGCGGTAGCGCGACGCAAGATGCCGACCTTGGGTGTTGAATCAGCCGTCCACACGTTCGAAGTAGCAGAATTACGAGTGTTGGGTTTAGGAATACCCACCGTGTGTCTTCGATTGCAACACGCAATCTCAATCGTTGCCTCGGTTTAATTTGAAGTTAACCTCTGCCAATACGGGCACTGGGAGTATCAGCGAAGTGGAAGGATTTGGTGTGGCTCTCTCCCATCCCTGCACTCTACGACCGTCAGGTTTCGGCTTGTTTTGTATTCGTCTGGTAACGGTGGCGAAGCTTGAGCTGAAACGCGGTGTCTAGTGTTTGAGGGCTATCGCCATGATTAATAGGCTGTTGGGCTCCGCGAGCAGCGGTTAGAAGTCCAATGTCATGTTTTGGAGTACACACCGTGTGTCTTGGATTGCGACACGCAAAATTACAACCCACAATTAAAGTAATCGTTTTCTGATACCCTGACAGAGTATCCGAAGATGAATTCATCTGAGTTCATCTAACGGAAACCTGCCATACAAAAGGAATGGATCCCTACGACTCTCCTAACCGAGTAGAACCAGCGCGAGCATCGTGAACAGTGGCTGCGGCCGGGTGCTAAGCACACGCACACACACCTTGGACCACCCGATTGACATACCAATGATATCATAAAGAACCAATCACAAAGGCCATCAGACGAGGTCATCATTCAACACCCGAATGCAACCGCACCGGGTTGCATTTCACACAACTATAAATACCGTGATCGCACAAGGTGATCATTCAACCTGCAATTTACCAGCTCTAGTGTTTCAGCGAAATGGGTTCCAACTTACAGCAGCACATCACCGCGATTGAAAGTGATTCGCGTACAGTGCGACAACTGCATAACGATTTCCTCCATAACTTGCTCTCCAAGCACCATCAAACCCATAAGACATTGCTGCACTTGAAACATAACTCACTTGCAGATAATGCAGCCGAGTTGAGAAAGCAAGGAAATCTTGACTGGGACGGTGAAGTGGACCGTTGGATCTTCTTCTCATTGAATGATCTGAATGGTTTCTTGCTATCTGCTGAGCAGCAACTGTTCACTCTATTGGTGAGTTGCATCTTGTGATGGATGGGTGCTTATTGTGTTATGCGCGAGTACTCCTTGCAACTTGATCCCCGTATGTGTACCATTGCAATCTCTTCTAACCCGAATGCCTCCATTCCACATAGCCGGATTCATCAGCGCTATCGCTCGGGCACAGTGCTTCTGCAATCATACAGCAAATGGAGCATCAATTGAAGAGTCTGCGTTCCTTCTCGGATGATGTTCAACCAAAACTGCTTCAGTTGGGCAGTTCATTGGCCACACTGTCACTGCATGAGAGACAGGATCGGGATGCACTGGACTACCTGCGGAATGCATATGAGATTGGTGAGAACAACAAGGTGGGTCATCTTATTGCGAATTGCCATACGATGTGTGTTTAACGCTGTCTTGTCACGTGCTGACATATTGCATACGTTAGCCAGTTGAATTCAGCTCAATCGCATTCATTCGTTTTGTATCGTTTGCAGTTGTTCTTCTGGGTTGGATTTGACGTGCGAGGATTCAATCGGAACCAGCTGCACTTATCTTCCTCTAAAAATCAACTGACATTGCAAGCAAAGTCTAAGCATAACTCGCATAGTTCAACGGAACACTTCGACTTCTCTCGCACAGTTTTCCTGCCGAATGCAGTGCAGTGGGACCAGCTTCATAGTCGTTTGAGCAGCGTAAGTCTATGCTGATCACCAACGTGGTTTTCCGATATTTTCACCTTTGTACCGTTCTTTGTAAGTTCTGGTAATGCCCCATTATTTCACTGCGTGTTCCATTGTGTAGGACGGCATTTTGCTTGTGAAAGCACCGGTTAACGTGTCAGATCATCATCAGTTTGCATCCACCAACGATGCGCACCTGGCATTGAAAGCGCAGTTGAAGGGATCGTTCTCACTGAAGGCGACAGGTGAGTACACTACTACCTGACTTTTGTCTAATATGCCCCATTGTTTCAGACAACCAACACCGTGTTGAGTTGTGTAATCGCTCTACTGACATTTCGGTGGCGTTATTGCAACTCTCACTTACCCTCTATCTGTACCCAGGCTCAACCGGTCTTTCTCAACTGAAAGACAGTTCAAGTGGATCAAAGTTGCATTTGGAGCTTCCACTTGAGGCTGGATTCAGCGGAGAGGATTTATTTGCACACCTGAGTGTCAATCATCTTATTTTGTCTGGCCGAAAACAGTTGGCGGAAAGCTCTGGTTCATCGCACTCGACTAACTTCAAGCAGTTCAGTCATTCATTCAAGACCTCAGAGACGCTGGATCTGTTGTCTTTGAAATTCGAAGTGCAAGGTAACACTGTGCTTCTGGAGGCTCCTTTGCTGAAGTCTAACTGAACTATTTGTTCAAAGGCGTGACCTCGTAGTACAGCTGCTTCTTACATTCTTATTCGCAAATAAATGATAGTCTCTGCTTTGTTTGTGTGCTTCCTCTGTGAACTTGGGGTTGGTGGATTTCATGCGTTCTTGAGCCCGATGTGTAGCACTCTAGTGGAGGACACTGGACGTTTTCGGTGTTGACTTCGTATGGACAACTGAGAAGAGCGTCCCATCACTTTAAACCATTCCCGAATACTCGCAGAGATGCTTGTGGAGGAAAACAATGTGGCGTCGACGTTTCAAAATTTCACATAATAATTTTACGACATGCGTATTTTCCGCACAGGGTAGGACGTGCTTCCAATTCTCAATCCGCTCATCCAACAGGAACAGCTGGAGATGCCGCTCGCACTGATTATGTTAGTTCACGGAAAGGGAAAACATTGGACTAGGAATCAGTATTGGAGTTGGGCACTCAGCCGAGGCAAACCGAAGGTTGGCTGTTTGGTTGCTAGGACGATGTAGTCAACATGAAGCGAAGGGCCCCAAAAGTCTTTAATTGAGCTGCACCGTCTGTAGGTGCTGGCGATGTGGTCAACTTTGCTCAAGAGTAGCCTGTCTCTGGATGAGTGCCGTACTATCCGATGCGATGGCTAAGAAGAAGCTGAAGGATCGCTTGGTAGCGATCTAGTGACTCCGATACAACCGTTTCAGATATTCATGTCAGTGGTGCTGAGTCACGGTATCATGGTGTTGGAATTTACCTTAGATGAAAACCGGACCATAGTTGGTTGGTGTGATGGTCAGTGCCCCAAAAAATGCATTTTGTTTTCAGCCGCTACTTACTGATATTCCTTTAGTCCAGAAGCTACTGAATTTTAGAATACTGAGATGGTTTGCTTAACTCTACGTGCCACTGAGTCTAATTGGTTGGCACTAACCAATTGTCCTCGTAGCGGCTTGTACCAGACCAGCCGGAGCTTAAAGATAAGTTGCATTGTGTCAGTGTCCCATCCAACGGATGTTGGGGAAGCGCGATGGCTGTCACTTATTTCAACCTTCACCAATGGGTTAGCAGCAATAGGTCCAGTTCGCTTGGCGCACGGGGCAAGTGCCACCGCTTGTCTATGACAGTGGAAAAACCCCATATTGGAACACTGATTTTATACCGCCCACTTTAAGCCAAGTAATATCTGCTTATTGGGGTGTAACGGTGTTGTAATTGAGGGGGACGCCGCCTCTGTTATAATTGCGTAATTGCCTGATAAGATTGTCGCTGGCACGGTTGGAGCACGCCTACGATAACGGCTTGTAACACTGGCCAATCGAGCGGAGTTGCGCTGACCTGATGACGTTAGCTTAGCCGGTGAGATGGAAAATTGAGCGAACGTGTGAACGATCCTAGTCGCAAGTGTTCGGATAGACGCTGAGCCCTCGGAACGGACGCACACGAGAGGGAGTTACGATAGACGCGCGCTAATGACTCAGACGCGAAGGCTGGCCAGCTGACGACTCACACGCAGTCACGTGACCCGACCGACTCCCAACTGAGGCGAAGAGAAAGACAAGTGGTCCTCTGTAGGCTCTTGTACGACCAACAAAGGGCGATCACAGTTAATGCTATGGGTTATTAAGTTAGGGAAAATAGTCACCAAGAAGAGGTGGTAGTTTGCAAATGACCATTGTCAAAAGGTTCGTAGTTGGGCCGCGTCTCGGAGTGGCTGAGCTCTGCTGCGTTGTGGGGAGGATTTGAACCTCGGTTTCCACAGCCATTCTGCTGAAGTTTCTGGCGTGTTTTTGCGGGCATATTTGACGTGTCCGCAACAAACGGGGACAATATTCCTTTGTGGTTGGGCATATTTACAGGTATATACTTTGTAAATGTCAAGAATCATGCACAATTTGTTCTGTAGCATGCAATAAGAAGCAGCACAATTTCCAACCGGATCTATAAAATGTCAGTGCAACCACATTGACTACTGTGTATTGAAACTGTACCATGTGAGTGCGCAGAAAGTTAAATCTTTCCAAATCCATCGAAATATGCTTAAAAATGTTAAAACGCATCAGTGACCTGCCAAAACACCAGTCGTTTTTCTAGTTTACATGTGATATCTTAAAAGATATCTGAATCATATAGACATAGATCTCACAGACGTGAGCTGTCAGGAATATGTCAGTAAGTAGTCGTTATCTGAATCACATAGTGGTGAAAGGTGAACTTGAGTATGTCTTTACTTGCTGCACAGAGTTGGTTTCCAAACTGAGATAGTTCTACACATCGGCCACTCGCTGTTCACAGCGCAGAGAGGCAGTAACTCGCTTCACATCTAGATCAACAAGACTGTACCGGTGTCCACATGTGCTGCTTGGTGTTCACAGTTAGAGTAACGGCTTCCGCACAGCACGGTATATAATAAATGGGATGTATTAGTACCCGGTGGTGAGAAAAGATGTAGATTGTATTTTCCAGCAAAAGGTTTTATACGATTAATCCTTTGAATTGGCAATGAGCTTGGCGACAATTTGGTGGGTAAGTTCAATTTGCTGCACCTCGTCTCGGGTGGTCAGGCACCGGGTAGGCTAGCCATAATGATGGAGGATAGTAGCTAAGTGGCAGTAGTTTTATTTGTGAGCCCAAAGCATGCGCAGTCTGTTACGATGTAGCCTGTTTGTGTTGTCATCGGACTTCAAATCGCACCACCTTCGTACTACGCCGTCCTTCACGCAAGCTGGGGGATGTAGCAATTTGCTGTGGAGAGCGTAGGTTCGGCCGGCACTGCCCTTCCCCAGACACATGAATGTTGACTTAAATGAGCAGACTAGGAGCTGAATATCTGCAGACCAAATAAAAGGTCGGTTGAGGTCTGGCTAAAGTAGACCTCTACCATCAGCGAAGCAAATCACTCTTCACCTCTTCAAATGATCTACAAGCAAGGGACACGATGGTGGTTCCGTGTTGCTCCTCCCAACCCTGAGACCCCATGACCGGTTTCGTCCTCCTTTGGACTCATCAGATGGAGATACCCTGAGCTGGGGTGGACCTCGAGGTATAGTGTTCAAAGGTTGACGACCTGACCACTATGGCTCCTAGGTCCGCGAGCAACGTTTGGACACGATGCTTTCTGAAGCTGAAGTAGGTTTTTGATGCAAGCCAGGAGCAGAGTAAACCCTAACGCCGTGCCTTGTAGAACGCCATCAGTCAGTCTGGTGGCCGTCAACCTGTTTCTTACACCATCGTCCAACCAAAGCCTCTCGGACCTGTTTTTACAGTTAGCCACCGACAAGCACACCCACAGCCTATGCAGGTGGACCTCATAGGTTGCCTCCGCAGACACTCCACTGAAATCCATGCAGAGCAAGTAGACAGAATTCTCTGTTTGTCACCTGCAACCATTCATGGTTAGTCATGAGAGGGATGGTGATATATGGGCGGCCCAGGGTGAAACGGTGCTGTGCAAACGCCATTACATGTGCTGACTGGAACTGCCACAGTAATCCGTTCTTCATTATCCTCTGTGTTGCCGCGGTCGAACTAGTCGTCATGAAATTTGGCCTTTAGCAGCCTACTTTGTCAGGGTTATAGCCTTACAGAAGTGACATTACTGCAGAGTATTTGTTGCTTGACACTGCACCTTCAGATAGCTGCTTGTTGAGCAAGTCAGTTATGGCTGATGGGATGATGATCGATAATGACTTCCTAATTATCAGGTGGAGACCGTCATTGCCGATAGGCTATGTAACGCCAGGGCCGGCGAAGAGATTGGGACGTCTTCCACTCCGCAATCTAGACTTCCGAACTCGACAGTTCTGTAGACACTTGCTCGTGTGCAAAAAGGGAAGCGAAGTGCGCTGTCAACTCTAGTGCACACTTAGTGCTGTATATCAAAGGCTATCTGTCCTGGTCCACTAAAAGTGTTAGGGAAATTTCAGTCTTCAAATGCCTTTAAAGGTAGGTAAAGATTCTTTCGATGCTGGCAGAGTTCGGACTCTCCTCTTTCCCTGAATTGATATTCTTGTGAATATGCACCCCTGGTCTGTCAACATAAGCAGCCGGAACAACCCTTGTTTCGGGCTCTTTGTGGACAAAAGCCACTCGCATACAATGAACAATGATTTATAACGGGTAAAAAAAGCAGGTGCTTGACATGTCCCGTAGGGTGTTTAGCGTGACAAAAAAGTGATAGCAAAGGGATAATGGAGTCGTCAGTTCGGGCGCTTACAGATGTAACTGCACTGTCGTATAAAGGGAGTTTGCAATGAGAATGTACGCACACAAAGCAACAGGGGATTGGTTGTTGTCCACATCATAGGCGAGAAAAATAAAAAAATAGCAAGGACAACGCTTACTCGTGTGCAACTATCTTGGGTCAACAGGATACAGAAATCCAGTTTCTATAATAGTAGCGTTTATCAAATTTCGTGCAAGACCTTTGGAGTGACTCATTCTCGAGTAGAGTTATGGCACTATCCCCTGTCTGTTGTGCATTAGTGCCAGCATCTGGTGGTCATGAGCTATAGCACGTAGTGTAAATGTGACAGGGTATCGTCAATGCGTTTTTTGAAAAGGGATAGGGTGGGTGCATTAATTACATGTTCCGGGAGGGCGTTCCAAGGCTGTGTCACTCGAAGGGTGAAATAGTTTCGCCGACATTCCAGGCGTCTGTACTGCGTGACTAACTTAAACTGGTGACCTCTTAGCGAGGTGTTTTGACTGAGTATTAGAAGGGAATGGCATGGGTGGCTAAGGTCTCTCAGGATCTGGTACACCATTATGAGATCGCCCCTTAGACGCCGAGAACGTCCACTGCGTCTTTTGAGGGTCTTCAGCCTGAATGGGTAGGGGAGGCTGGTCAAACCTCTGACGCTTTCGTTGCCCTACGTTGCGCAGTATCGAGCGCGGTGAGATGGTGCTTGAGCCAGGGTTGCCATGCATGAATACCGTATTCCGCGTGCGGCCTCATGCACGCACTAAGCATTTTTGAAAAGATCAAAGGCCGAGGTACTGGTTCGTTTTTTTAGCTGCCTTTTCAGTCTGCCTCGAACAACCGAGGTCATCTTGAACTATCACGCCGAGATCGCA